TCTTCTTCTTCTTCTTCTTTCTTCTTCTTCTTCTTCTTCTTCTTCTTCTTCTCAACAAATGCATTATTAGTTTAAAGGCGTGAAACAGCTCACCAGTAAACTTGTACTTTGCGTGGTTGTGATCCTACCTGATTTAGGCGGCTGCGATGTACTCCTCTACGCCTGACGATTTACAGCATGGATCCGGATAGCTTGATCACTCTAATGGTTGATGCTCAACGCTCTGCCCGAGCTTACCTACCGGACTGAGGGCAGAAATACTGAGCTCACAAAGCTAATGACAAAGAACACACCAAAGCCACCTCAATTACCTGCCTTGGATGATCTTACATGTTTTTTTTGTGTGAGGTGGTTACAACGAGTGCGAACATTCAAAACAGAGGTTTATAGTGGGCGAAGTAGGCCGACCGATGTGTATATAAGAAAACTTACATGCGATTAGAGGGCCGGGAAAATGGCGGCTCAAATTGATAAGCCAGCACTCCTGATCAAAAGGTCGCTCAGGGTTTGAGCTCTGAGTGGTGGACCACTTGGGGTTGGGTATGACTGGCTGATGATGGCTAATAAGCTAGAAAGGGTAATTACAGTCTTCCTTTTCTTTGCCAGCAATGCTATCAGCCTAGAATACTAGCCACTGTGTGGCTGCTAGCAAGGCAAAGCAAGACGAGTGATGTCCAATAACGATCGGTTAACTTTCATCAAAGAATTTGCCGATATTCAGCAGACTGAAGACACACGTGATGGCTTGCGATGCATCTACCGCACTTTCTCTTTTTCCCCACTGTCTCCGCCCGGTCTTATGGCAGTCAAGAAGATCGGAGATGGGCTCGGATGCAGTTGACAATGCCCATTTCCGACACACACCTACATTTTACCTCTCCTTAATCTTTATGCCCGTTTTCTTCTTTCCAGGACCGCTTTGGACGTACTCCCATCTACCTGGCTACCTGCCGCGGTCATACCGAGGTCGTCACCTATCTGCTCTCCTGCAATGCGGACATTCACTCGCCCAACAAGGAGCTCAAATCTCCCCTCTACATTGCCGCCAACTTCGGTCATTTGGACATTGTCAACGCCTTGCTACGGCATGGTGCACAGGTAAGCACTGTCGTTGGGAATTCGCCTCAGAACGGGAGCGTTATACAGGGGTGGCAAGGATTCCTTATAAGTAACACCATACTTTTCTGTACATATCTAAATATTCGGTAGAAGACCTTTTTTGGGAAACAATAACAAACTTACCGAGGTCGTCACCGCCGTCGACGCTGGCTCATCATTTCGTCGTCAGACAATTGTATGCGGGAACTCCATCCTGCCTGGCTAAACAAAGGCGAGGTCAAGTCTATCTAGTGCGATTTTGGCTCACTTGGTTGACAGAGGTCACCGGGTAGACGTAAACCAAGCGTTTCGTGTCTTGTATAAAGTACCAG